TAAATGCATGATACTGAAGCGTCTGATAGCAATGACAGAGCATATAGCATAGTCTTCTTTGCTGGCTTTGATGCTACAAAGAGTCATCAGACACGAGGCAAAAACATCATCTGTTGTATTATACAACATATCAAACTCATCAAACAGGATGACAATATTTAAAGACTTCCATTAGGTTCTATAAAAAGTGTTAAGAAAATCATTTGCGAATTTGATTTGTAGGCTTTTTAAAGGGCCAAAAAGTTTAGGTGAATTACGTTGAAAAGTCATACTGAGTGTTTGCCAGAAAAGGTCTACATTATTTATGTTAATATATTCAAAAGATGTGCAATCCATAGAAAGCTATTCTCAAAGTTAGAAATAGGAATGCATTTAAGCTATGATATATGGCAATATTTTATTGCTCTCTTGTTAAAAGATGAAATTTTGGAGTACTCAACGTTTATAAAGATGAGAGAAGCTGTGAGGTTTTTTTGGTTCGATTTCTTGGCAAATTTTAACTCTGTATGTACTGGGATGCAAAACGATCTAGCTATGTTTCTCACAGCAGAAGGAGTCCTGATCCCTGAAGAAAATACTGCTGGAATATATAAAATTTCCTCATCCTTGATGCGTTCACTAATCTATCAGCAAATAATTCCCAAAGTATTCCGACTTCACCTCAAACTGAAGTTCCTTACCATTCTTCTCCACGTACTCTGGACATATCTAAGGTTTTAAAGCATGCAGTCTTTGTATTCGACAAAGAAATTATAAAGTCACTCTATTTTTATAAGATTGCTTATGTGCTGGTGAATAATGCTGAAAATGAAAGAGTTTCTAGGGAGTCAGTGTATGATGCAGAACTTTACTGGATCATGTCAAATTGGCTTGACAGATTTATAATAATGGGACAATAGTATTAGTGGACATATTAATTATAAATATGTCAATATAGTCATAATATGATCTGACTATCCAACAATTGCTTTAGAGCTTTTAGCTATAGCAACGAAAGAAGAACTCAAAGAATATTATTATCAGACACTTTTATATGCTAAGAAACTATCTACAAATGAAGCATTAGTTGTTTATTTCACCTGTTGTGAGAACGCTATTTCAGAACCATACTGGCTA